ATTTAGATTAGAGTGCACAGCTGAGGGATAGATTAGTTGTGCCTAGACCGTGGAACACTCTGCTGGGACGTGCTGGGGGACTGGCTCATCATCCGACAGGAAGAACAGTGGAGCGCACCAGAGGACAGAGCGGCTGTTTACTGTATGTTTCATTTGGAACTGCCCTCCACAGGCGACCCATGAACGACCCCGCTTGGAAGCCGTGTGTGGCCTGTGGACACACACATACACACACAATACACCGAGCTCATATTAGATCTCTCAGTTCATTCACAATTGACTGGAGCTGCATTTTTACATTCATGATCTCATGCCATGTCTGTCATCACCTGCTCTGTGGTAGTCCCGATGCGGCTGAGGTCTACAGCCGACCATTAGCTGCGTACCAGAGCTGGGTTGTGTGTTTATTCAACACACTGTCACGTGGCACAACTTTAGCAGGGATTGCCTCCTCTCACACAGGGCTCACTCAGCACTTTTTATAAACACTCAGACACAGGAAGTTGTGTTTATTAGACAAAGTGACAGAGACCAATTGGGGGTGAGACACGAGCTTGCACAGAGGGTCGATTGTGTCCATCCTCTGTGGATGTGTAGAGGTTTGTGTTCTGCTAAGCATTTATAGAATTATATTAAAAATTTTAGTCTTAATGTATACCACATCAACATTTTAGTGACATGCATTTAGGGCAGATTTTATACATGCTGCAGATAAATTCAGTGTTTATTTCTATTGTGATACTCACAGGAAATTATTAGCTGGAACAGGAAGTTGTAGTTGTGGTCATGTATCCTGCTTTCCTCACATACAAATGAAGCTTGCTGTGCGCTTTCCCCAATGTCAGAACATGTTGGCTTGCGATGACTAACTATAAGCTGCATTCAGGAGCACCGATATCGAAGAGGGGAATTTGACTTTCTCCTGGCTACAAATATAAAATGGAGGCAATGATTGTCATTCTTGGTTAAGACAAACACAGGCCAAATTGTAAAGAAAATAGCACCGCTGCCTGCTGCTAATTAAAACAGTATCACATAAACATTGGCCTTCCTGTGGGACAGCCCCTCACTCACTCAGTGCTGAGAGGGAGGCTGGAGATGGGGCTGTGTGGTTATGGCGCTGTGCTGATGGGAGAGAGAGGGTACAAGGAGGAGAACATTTGGAAGTGGGTTTTTTTTTTAAGCTTGAGCACTGGGCAAGGGTTGAAGTTGAAACTGAGGTAAAGCAAATGAACTTGGACTGTGTTGTAATCTGGGCTGAGCTGTGATTAGCCTGTAGCATTAGCATAGACTAAAAAGAGGATGGGGCCTATAGCATTCAGAGGATGTCTTTTGTTGTCAGTGTACATGAGTTTATGGTCCCCAGATTTATGGCCAGGGCTGTGGCATAGGACTATGGATTGTACTGTCAAGGCTACAGACTGAAGGGAGGCCCCTGGTCCCAGAGCCCTTTCTTGGGGGTCATAAGTGTAGAGGCCAGGGGCCATGGGGTTACACCCCTGGGACCCTGAGGTCATCTCGCTGAGGCCCCGCTATTTAAAACCACACCTGATACTCACCCTGTGGCCTGGGTGCAGAGTGAAGACTCACAGCAGAGGGGAGTGGTGTAGAAGAAATGCTGCAGAAGATGCAGCTGTCACCAGGCATTGTTTGTGTCTTGTTCACGTGTGTGCAAGTATATGCATGTGTGAATGCACCTCATGAGCCAGATCTCGTCAGGACACTATGCTAGGAGAGTATGCATAGGTCAAGTATTGCACTGTATGAATGTGTGTTCAACCTTTTGACATATGTCCTCCAGCAGAGGGCAGTGAATTTGATATAATGTTTGATGTTTGATGTTTGATTTAATCTGAATTGCTGTATGATAGCCCAAACTCAAATAAATAGCCAAATTCTATATTGGTGCAAGTCCTATTTGCTGCTTTAAAGACGATATATGTTGAGAATTGACACAATGTAGAAGAAGCAAATTCAAACTCGTACTTCCCAAATGATTTATTGTTTGTCTGATGAAATCTGAATTGACTGCCTTCATCGTATTCCTGATCTCAGTATGGTAATGGTTAATTTTGCCAGTCTGTTTGTGTGCACAGTGAGCCCATGTTAAAGTTCCAGTATCCAGTCTGATAGGACCTAACATTTTCTTTTCTAAAGCAGCTCTCTCCCTCTCTCCGTTTTGCATTTTGTGCGAGTAAGAGCTGAGTTGACAAGAGCTGGTAGTTGTTTTGTTGATAATGCCAGTGGGTAAGGGAGCGGTATAATGCTAATTGCATGCGGAAGAAGCCTTGACGCCCTTTCTTGTGGATGAAGATGATGAGGAGGAGGAGGAGTGCCCTGAATGTGGTATCTCCACTGAGAGGATTGCGGGTTGTATGATTGAATTATCCAGCTTTTGATGTGCATGGAAGCGCTGATACAGTGCATACATGGATGCACACAAATGCACAAATTCACAGAGGCTTTGGGAGTTTTGGTTCTGTGAATGAGTGGGTGGTTGACCAGGGCTGGCATGGAAGGCTATTTTGATGGGCCT